CGACCAATCCCTGCTTCTTGGCGCGATTTCGATTGCAAACGTTGCTTCGCATGTCATCGGTCAGCGCAGAAGATCGCTGTGCCATTGGTCAAGCAGCAAGTCTTTTTACCGCGCAAGAAAGCAATTTTCAGCACTCCGCTTTGGATCCAGGCAAGTAACTGTGGTAGGTAACCCTTCGTTTTAAGCCCTGGGTCACCTACTAAGCAAGGACACTACGACTCTGTCCAATTTCTCGTTTGTTTGACTTTTGGCTCGTGTTCATTTTTTTGTGAGAATTGCAAAGCACACTGTTGCCCGCAAGCATGCGCAGGGTTGGCTTGCGCTCTTTTCTTGCGCCCCCATTTGCTGCTGCCAGCTTTGAACCGTTGGTGGCTGAGCAAGATTGCGCCACTTCCGACCTACTTCCGTCCTACTTCCGTCCCGCTATGCGGACTAATTACAATGCATCGCAGTTCGTGTTCCTACCTTGGGGCGAGGCTAGTGGTGCCTTTGCGTGGACCACATTTGGTGCTCAGAGAATTCTCCCTCCAAGTGAGTTTGCTGCGGGTCGCTTGGACCCTTTCCACCTGACCCTCCTTCTGGAGCTGTTCATTTTCCCGTCTTAAAAAAAAAAAAACGGGGAGAGAGGGTCCAGTGGGCCAGTCGACGGACCGCTTCTTTGAGCACCAGCCTGTTGGCCACCTACTCGCATCACTCGGTCGACGTCTCTTCATCTCTTTCTTTTCGGGAGGCGCACAAGGCCCCTCCACCCCAGAGCCCCTTTTCGAACCTTTCCTCCAAGAATTTGCTTGAAGGCTTCTTGGGAACCTTGCAAGAGTGGCTGGACGGGGCCTTGCAATTCGGTTGACTCAGAGCACTCTTACTCCACTTGCCTTATGGCAAGGGCGAGAGCCTTGGAGTAGTGTGCTGACAGGCCAAAGGTTGAGTCACAACTGCCTAGTTGTCCGAGATAGTGTCATGGTCAGAACAGCATTTAACCTTTAACTTGGGGTTGCTAGTCGCATGTTCAATTTTGTCCATGGTCAAGACGATTTATTTTGTAGTTTATTCACAGTATTTCTTGTCGCATTGCCGAATTTGAGCATTGGCTTACCCGGCCCCACCATGGGTCAGGTGCGCCAATTTTACAAACCACCGAACAGGGGCTTTCCCTCGTTTTATCTCAGTTTTTCGGTGCCCGAAACCCATGAAGTGGGCAGAAACTCGCCCTGGTTCCTTTGGGTTGCTGAAACCTCAGCAGAACTCCCAAGAAACCATGACGCTTTGAGCAATCCTGAATGCCTGGGTTGGCATAACAATGCTTGAACGTGTTGCTTATCATCAAAATGACACAATCCAGAAACTTGCAACTCTTGGGACCTCAACAAGTTGCTTTTGTTCAAAAGAGACATGGCTGTAAGTAGCCCTATACCAAAGTGGGATTCCCAATGCCTATGTCGTCACTTCAAACGGGACTCCCCAAGGGTATCAAGGAAATGAGCAGGACGACTGGGGAGCCCTGAACAAAAACCAACACCACAAATGGCGGCTGTCCCTTTGGTTTCGCTTCGAACCTGCCTGCAAAGTCCACCCAAAGAAGATCCACGCACATGCTGGGCTCGGTTTTGACCATAGTCGTGTGGCCCTCGGAGCTGGTATAAAGCCACGCAAGCAGCGTACGCCAGACCTTCGATGGTCGGAGAAAATGGGCGTCTCGCGCTGGTTCTCAAAGACTTAGAGTATGAAAGAAGACTTGGGGTGCGCTCGCTTTTCGACTGTTGAAGCTGGTTCCATGTTCTATAGTTCTCAACGCCCAAGAAAGGGAAGCGCCGGGACCCACAAGGAATTTGGAGAATCCATCGAAATGTTCACTTTATTCTAGAGGATTGGCCCTATTATCCTGCGAACTACCCTGATTATAGCCTAGTTAAGTGGCTTGAACATTCGAGTTTCCTTTGCCGCTGTACCGTTGGCTTTTCCTTGCAGCGTCTAGAGCAGGGTCGATGACTCACTTTATACTTTTTGAGAAGCGCCTGAGACATTCGGGCCTGGGCAAGCACCGAGACCCGACCTCTGGTTGATGCGCCTTTGATCGACTTCTCGTCCATAGCGAACTTCCAACCTGAGGCAAGCTCCATCAAGCTCCATTTGTTTTAGGCCAACAAACTTGAGCAGTACGTAGGCCTGTGTATGATCAGCCCGGGAAGGCAATTCTCTCATTTGACACCTAGCATGCATTTGGGAGTCCAGGAATCCGGTTTACTCAGCCTTTGAGCCTTCAAGGACTATCGTTTTGTACGCTTGGCTTTTGCACTCCATATGGTGCGAATATATGGACATATCTCAATTTTGGAGGGGCATGGGGAAACTCACCAAACGTCCCACTAAGGCCAGGGACTCACTCACCTGGGAACTATGTCCTTCGACTATGCCCATGAATATATCTGTAGTGTGTATATTAAATTATATATACATATGTACGTGTGTGGGTTCAGGCGTCGCATCGGCTTGCGCATGCCAGGCCATGTTCGACCATTGGTTTTTCCGACTAGCCAGGCTCGCCTGGGAGCCATGCCGGTTGGATGGTCTTCATTGGTTAGGTGCAGTGCTTCCAGTGAAGACACACAAGTACTGGTGTCTTACCCATACCCCTAGGTTTGTTAGCTGGAGTGATAACTGGAAGCGCCGGCGCTATTTGTGGCATTACTTTACGCTGCCTGGTTTGAGTACGCCTGTGTGCTGGCTTGCCTTTGTTGTTTTCAATTTTGTTTTTCAGCCAGCAACAAGTTCACTTGTCGCGGGCCGTCGGGTCTGTTGGCCCAGTTTTCTGTTTCTGAACCAGGTGCTCAAGTTTCTGAATCGAAGGTTCTCAGTCGGGGCAAGTTTCTGAATCGAAGTGTCTGAGTCGGGGCAAGTTTCTGAATCCGGTCAATATTCCCGCCCACGCATCCTTCGTGCGTGCACATGGGCCGGCGTATCCATCTCTGCCAAATTTCGTTTCAGGAACATTGGTCAAGGGGCACTCTTGGACCCTTTGAGATGGGTGACTCTCTCCATGGGGCAACCCGGCAAAGTTGTTTAACAGGCACAGTGCAGAATTTGGGCCCCGATTCAGAAACTCGGTTTCCTCGAATTGGAAACTTGGTTGGCCTGAGCTTGAGTCATGGGTGCCATTTCGAAACTCGGGTACCGCGGCGTTTAGTGACCACTCGCTCAAGCACACCCTCGCAGCACTGCAGATTTCCTTGTATAATGATAAGAACACTGGCTCAAGTGCACCCGCGCAGCGCTGCGTATCTGCTTGCCAATTGAAAATAAAGAACACCCGCTCAAGTGCACCCTCGCAGCACTGCATATCCTGCCAAATAACAAGAAGACCCGCTCAAATGCACCCGCGCAGCAACACGCATCTCTGCGGAATGATAAGAACACCCGCTTCATAGCTTACCCTTACCTTTTGTATCAGAACTAAGAATGGCTTTGACTTACCCCGCAACCCTCTATAAGTCATTCAGTTTCTGGAGGCAAGTCTAACTCGCTTGCCAGGAGCCACCAGAATTCCCTGGCGGCCCCGCTCACGCAGTGAGGACCCCGGGTTTCGAAACAAGGTGGTAAGCCATGCGCTTTTGGTCAATGTCTCGATCTGCATTGCCAGATGTTGGGCGTACAAAAGGCACCCTTTTTAGGTGCTGCTACAAGTCCACGCCGATCAGCACCAGTTGGTAGGTGCTTTCTGCCAGTATTCACAGGGCTTCATCCATCCCGATTGGTGCCTGCCGCGGATTTTGTCCATCCACCGGACCCGGCCGAGGTTTCTTCTATGCCTCTTGGACGCGGCCTATTTCCAATTGGAGGGCGGCCACTTGCGGCTCCGAGTGCCTTGGCGGTGTTGCTTGTTGTTTTTGGCGTTTGGGCCGACGTCAACCGGACAACCTGTAGCAGGGTTCCGTACATTTGAGATGTTCAGGCCATTGCAAAGTCAGCTTTGCAAGCGGATTCAGAGGATACCGCTATAAAGTTCTGCACGGCCAGCGGGGCTAGTAGAGGAGGCAGTCTATAGTGGGCCTGAGCCTTAAGCATTGCTACGTGATAGGGTGCACTTCGGGTCCTGATTGTTTTTGGGTCCTCAAACATGGTTGTGAGGGTCCTATGTTCGGGTCAGGCCAGGGGGGCTGGCAGTTTCCCGGCCAGGCCTTGGGAAATTGGCATGTCAGGCAACCGGATGGCTCCATCATGCTCCATCCGAATGGATTTGAGCAAGCATGGTTTCGGGGTGCATGGCTTTCGGGGTCTTGGGGAGGAGTTCAACTGCTTGAGCTTTTGAATGTGCTGAGTCCCGTCAGTTTTGGGGTAACGGGGTCGCGATTTCGATTGGAGGCAATGGCAGCTGCGGGAAGCCACTGCCCTTGGGAAATCACTCACATTTCAGGAAAGGGGCAGTACGGCCTCCTCTTTTTCCCTTTCTCATGGCATGTTGGTTGCTGATTTTGTTTTACCACGACCATTTACGCCTTTGTGGTTGAAAGAGTCGAGCATGGATTTCTGGGGTCGCCTTCAAAAGCTATGTTGTATTTGAGTGCAGGCAAAATCTGGAACAGAGCCGGAACATGTCGTTTGCATTTCAGATCAAGACTTGCGCATTGCCTTCAGCCTCGGGATCCCTAAACATCTCATGTCAGGCCGCTGGCTGAAATATTTTTCCCCGATGAAAGGTCCCCGCTTAGGGCAGGCAGAGTCTTAATGCGAATGAAGCTGTTCTCATGTGTTGTCGTTTGTGCATGGGCGTAGTTTGCCATTCAGGGCAGCGTGTGTGAATGGTGCACAAACTGGGTTTGCTTCAGGAGAGAGTAACGCTCAAATTGAGTGGTTTCGATTTCTCATCAAAACAAGGGCTACCCTCCCCCACCCCAATATGGGCCCGAATTGGGGAGCCGCGGGAGAGCCTGTTCAATGTCACCCAACAAGGTGCCTCTGGGCAGGCATGATACTCCGCCTGGTGAAGGGTGTAATTTTCAACCCACTGGTCAAGTTTGCCGCATCAAACTTTATGTTTGGATCCTGCCCAGAGGTCAGACGAGTGAATTGGCTGGACTCTTTTGCGGGAATACTACCAGGGCCACTTTTTGGGACAAAAAGGGGCAGCCATTTGGATAGGAACCCTAACTTTGACACACGCACACACAAGTGAATGCGAGAAAGGCGTTTCCTGGTTGCCCAACAAGCATCTTGGTTGCCAACATTGTCTTTCCTGGCACAAAGGGGCCGTTTCTCCCAAACACGCCCAAACATTGCACCCCAAGTGCCGTTAGTTCTTTTTGGGGTCTGGCGCGAATGAGACGCAGGTGCCAGCAGAGATCCCCCCGCTTCCACCAGAGCCGGACAAGGCACAGCCCACCCAATCCTTCGTTCCACTCGGATGTCCAGAAGGATTTGTCTCAGTCTCCATGACCCATGGAGTCCATTTTGAAAGGGTCATGGAGACGGGCAGACCATTTTAGTACCAGGCTTTGATTGTGCCGTGGCCGGAAGACCGGTTCTTTTCTTTAGGGGTTGGGAATGGTCATCAAATCCCTAGCAAGTATGGACAGCCAACGCCCCACAGGCAACGAACAATTTGCGATTCCGTGTTCGAGAGTTTGGCCCAGTCAGGGTTCTGGTTGTTTGTGTTGGTTCTACAATATTGGCTCATGGTGGATCTGTTTCTTGCAGGTTCATGTTGTCGTTGTGGTCTCATGTGTTTGCAGTGTTGGTTCTTTGACCTTGCCCTTTCCCCTGCTAGAGAGCTTCCCTGGTGGTTGAACAGCAAGCCGGCTTGGGGCGGCCGCTTGAAGGAGTCTCTCACTAATTGTTGAGAGAGAGAAGGGGGGGAACAACCCTTTTCTTGCTTGTTTCTGGCAGAAAGGAGCAAAGCCACGAACTATCCTTACAAGGTTCCGTCCATGTCTGGTTGGAAGGGCTCCTCTTCGCAGTGAAACACATGTGCGAATGTTGACCCCAATGAAAATTGACAGTTTCCCTCCGATTCCCCCTTCAGAAACACAAATCGGGGGACCCTCAAGATGGCACACCCGGAGCAATGTTAGGGAACCATTCGTGAAGTCTCACCTTGTTTGGGCCTTGCCCCAGCTTCAGCTCAGATTATTAGGGTCACGAAGCAGTCGGCCCTCCCACACTCAGGCTCGAGGTCGGGGTTTTGGTCATGGGAAAGTGCCACTTCCAGCATGAATTGCATACTGGCACTTCTTTCAAATGTGTAGTGCGCATGGCCATGGTAAGAGTTCTGCAGCGCGTTGAATGTGTTCACGGACCAGAAAAGCCATGTAGCTCATTCCCCCATCTTCCGTCAAACTCTTCCAGGAGCTGGCCCCTCTCATCCAGTCCTTTTTTTTGAGTGCAACCTGGAATTTTCACCGTCTTCACGGGGGGGTTTTGGGGGGCTCCCTTTGGCGCGCCAAACTTTTTCCAGGAGCTGATCGAGGTGCCAGCCTACAAGGCGAAAGGGCGGAACACGGAATGGGAGACCTCCAAACTCAAACGGATTTGGGAGCCCCTTCTCACTTCCTGAGTTCCAGGACTTTAAGGTTTTTGGGCAGACCATTTTAGTAGCAAATAAAAAGTTTGGACAGTTTTTGACAAATCCACTCAGGATGTGAGCCTTGGCTCCTTGAGACACCGAAAAGCGCAAAATCATGGACGTCCAAAAGGCGGTGAGCTATCCTTACGTATCTATGTAATAGCCCCGGACCGGACCTTTTTTGCTGGCAGGACCAACCAAAAGGCTGGAAAAGGTCTTGATGCCTATTGTCTGGCAGGACCAGCCAAAAAGAATATCAACACAAAGGCTGAAGAGGTCCTTTTGGGAGTTGATGTAGATTTCCCCGTTGGCAAGTGTCATGGCGGAAAGTACTCGCTATTTCTCAGCATTCGGTTCCATCTCGGGAAAGCGCGAGAGGAATGGAAATTCCTGAGATAGCACCGTGACACTGAGAAACACGATGCTTCCGCGAACTTACTTTGTAGAACGTTGCAAAGTTAGAGTACTGCTGCTATGCCCCTGAGGTGGTTTCAATCATCACATTGTTGCCATGGTCAATCGTTTTCTTGGCGCAGGGATGGCCACGGACCCCTGACTTGGGGATTTAGGCAACCTTTGCAAGAGTTATTAAGGGAACCTTGACCACGATCCACACAGATGTGGTAGCCAGACACTAGCAGTTTCAGTAGCGAGTTGTATGGCACGGCGTCACAATCGCAGGACGACCATGATCCACACAGAGAGTTTGATCCGCACCACAGTTCTGCGAGGCAATTCCCGTGTCAGGCTGTTGGGACCCTGATTCAGGCTGTTCATGGGCACAGTGAAGTTTCGCACATCCGACATCGGATGATGTAGGCTGCTCGTTAGAAACTAGGATTCAGGATGTCACCACGAAACAAATTGCCACCTTTGGGGCAAAACTTGAGCCCAAATTCCACGGGCGAAGAAGCCCCCTGTGCCATTCTCGGCAGGACGTTGCAGGTCAGTGGTGGGGCTGGGAGCTTTTGATCGCTTCGGCCAAACATTGCAGAAGACAAGAATGCATGCACGTCCAACATCCCAACAGGAGACACACCGAAAATATGAACTTGTTAAGCCATTGTTCGCTGTTGTCCGGCGTGCTGCTCCGTCTGGCATTCACTATCTTCCGTGGGAAGCGTGTCAGCCACAGGAATTTGGGTATGTGGCTGATCACGCATCCGGAGCAGCCTGGTGCATGTGCGGGGAGAGCGTTGCAGCAAGCTGTCCGACGTGAAGAACTTGGAGGAGCTCTTGGCGCTTCAGGTTGGCACTGCTTGGTGACACGTCGCCTTTGGGATGCCGGGCAAAGTTCGAGAAGCACGGTGCATCAGAAGCCAAGCATGGCCAGCCTCACCATCGCCTCGATCGGCAAAGTTTGTTGCATTGTTTTTTTTCCGGGGGGGGGGGGGGGGCTCAAGGTCTTCCCTTAAAAGTAACCAGCCCAACACACCGAATCTGTGCGCTAATTCCCATGATCCACTGGAGGCCTGGTTTCCCTCCACTTTGGTTGATTCTATGGATGCGTGTTGCGAACCTTTCTGGTGGGTTCCTTTGTTGCTCAGCTAGATTTAGTATGAGTTAATGGCCGAGAAAGTTGGGGCTCATACAGTGGCAGCGGCTCTTACATTAAATGATATGTGTGTTTTCATTCAGGCTTTGACACTCACCACTATCTTGCCTGCGCAAGTTAGCAAGGCGCAAAGCGAGCCAGCCCACGACGGAGGTGCCTCACTTTGAGATCCCTTAGTTTGGGTTGGTGAACAAGAGTAATTAATTCGCCAAGCAGCCTTTTCCTGCCGAGTTGGTAAGCCTTCGAAAACGGCGCTGTATAACCCTGCGACATAGCGCGATGTTAACTCGTGTCGGTATGTAATTCATTTTCTTTGGGCAGGAAAGCATCCGCAGTGCTACAGTGTTTCCCTTTTGAGTGGTGCTGGTTTGGTTAATTGAGGCAACCCCGAACCATCCCAAGTGGCACTTTCCGATTCCATGCCCACAGCGGCAGGCTTCCCCGACCAGCAGTGCGGCACCACTGACTAAGGACCTCCGGGCGCAGGTGGGTGATTCGGCTGTTTGAACAGCCCATCCGTCCCATGTTAAAGGGACACCAAGAGGATCTTGTTCAATCAACCGTGGTTTATACCTGGAGTCTCCATGGCCCTTTGAAAACGGGCTCATGACCCCTTTCTTTTGGGTAATGACAATTGTTTAAGGGTCACGGAGATTTCAGGTACAAACACAGTTCAACGTTGGATTTGCCCCGTTCCAAGACGATTGAATCTCCGTGGTCGGAAGTTTTCCCAAACGGTTCCACAAGCTTAAAATGTTGACCAAACCTCTTCACTAATGTGAATGGGTTATAAGCTGGGTTTCTATCCGCGTACTGACGTGGCAGAACACCCCAGTCCCGGAATGAATCAAGGCTCGAACCTGAAATAGGTGTGGCCGCCCTTTAGATCATTTGCATTACTTTTGGTAGAATATCATTTTAATACTAGGTTCTGATTGTGACTCACCTGCAAGCATGGGTGTTTCTCAAACAGGGCTCCCAAAATTGGGCTCCCCTTCAAATACCAACAAGAGAGTCCATCATTTTGGGCAACCCTCATATTTGATTGCCACCCACTGCCCCTCAGACAAAAGGATTTGGCCCATTTCGGATTTGTCTCTCGAGGAGTGGATCCGAGACAAGCTCCTGGTGCCACGAAGCATGGTCGCTCACTCAGAAAAGCCAGCTTTGCCCAACAGGCAGCCCCGGAACCCCAAGAGAACCTTGCGAACCATCACTGAAAGCTGCTCCGAACCATCCTAAAGCTTATTTGGGCAGATCCCATAGCTTTCAGCTGTGTTGAGGGGAAACCACTACCAAAGAAGGGTTTTTCTTTAAACCCAGCCTACCAACAGGAATAGTGTTTCCCATGGCCACTGCGGGTCTGGGAAAGACGGTGCTTTTTCTTGGCACCGCCAACAGCCATTGCCAGAAATACCTTTTTGATGCTTTTGACTTTTGGGTTTCTTGGTTTTCCGTCATACGGGGTAATGTGAGAGGCCAAATGATCACACATGATTGTCAAAGCAACCCTTCGCATGGCGTTGGAGGCGTGTTTATTGTGTGCCACTGTGGAAGAGCAGCAGTCGGACGGACGTCGAGGCAGGCTCATTCGTTCGGCGAAACATTCTTCGGCTGCAGAGACGGAAAAGATGGCTGCAAGTTTGTTGTTTGGGCGCATGAGCCCAGGCGCATCCAGCAAGCAGCCCATGCGGAGGCAGAAGCCGAAATCAACGACATAAACCAATCACAGATGTCAGGTTCAGACGATCGGTTTCATCACACGCCTCCATTCGGATGCGCTGCCTACCTTGCCTTTCTGGGGCTTTCTTGCAAACACAGACAGACAGACAGACAGACTGACAGACAGACAGACAGACAGACAGACAGACAGACAGAAAGGCAGGCAGGCA